ATGCATACGCCGCCACCTCTGGTGCGACGATCAAGTCTATATAGTTTGTATCCTTCAATTAACCCTCTTGAACTATACTGTGTGCTCCCTCTCCTTTCAATGAAACATTAATTTGAATTCTGTGTAATGTTTGGATTATTTTTGCTCTCCTTTAATCATCAAAAGCTTATTTCATGGATGTGTCAAAATCAAGTCAGTGGCAAGAGTTGAAAATTACAAAAAATATATCATCTCTGTATATCGGAAAAGGAGCTCCTATGCATATTATGTTCACTTGAGATTTTTTACCTTAAAATAGTATCTTCTTCAAGCTGTTGAAGTCCTGCTACAAAAAACTGACTCACCCTGTATAACAGTATCTACTAGTTGAGTGTAAGATTACATAGTGCAGAAATTCAACTCCTCTATGATTTTATTTTCAATTCAACTGGTTTTTTTTTCAGGTAATTGTCAATTTGGATTTATTGAATATTGTCACTATGTTTCCAAAGAATTTTACCCTTCATAATGCTTCGAATCTGATAAAGAAAGCAGCCAAAAATGAAAGCCATGCCCCTTATGAAAGGTTGACTGATGAATTGGATTCAACCTGTTACTGATCTCAAAAAAAGGAGTTTAATAGACTATATCCTGAAATATATACAGCATTTTTAACTGAATATGCTAATTCTGTCATATTTACATAATTCAATAACATATGAAATATTTAATGAATACAATAAAATTGTACTTACCTTATTACCTATTATCAACCTATTTTTATTTATACATCCATGGAATCCAGCAAATAAATTGGATCATTTTCACTTTTGATAAAAAGCCAAGTTCAATAAGTAGTGTGTCATATTCAAACTGATGAATTTTTCAGAGAGTCAACTCAATTTTCTTTCACAGTCTCCATTCAGATGAGTTTTTTTCTTTGTGAATTTGAAGTTGTGATTTTCATTTTTCAGAATGTAGATATTTTATACTATAATTTTATGAGTGAGGTAGGTACACTGTGTATTGTGAATATAGGAATTATATAATTACATATTTGGTTTCACTTCCACAAGCTGTGATTCAACTTTCTATATTTGTTATGCACTGCTATAATTTCTAGAAATATATCAATATGGTTGAAAAAATTTAGGTGGGTACTCATATTATTCTTATGTTGTACTGATATTCAAATTTCAATATTGCTCATTGTTAAAATGTGAAACAGAAGATATACCACTCTTTGGAAGATATGTATTTGATTGAATTATTCAATATTTTCTGAATAGCAGCCTTACACATTTGCTCATCAGGATATAATAGAATATGTTTAGTATCAAAGTCAGGTTCCTACAAATACATTCCCTCAGTTCATTGAGGAATAGCTGGAATACAATGATATCAAAGACAAGTATAAATAATAGCATAATCCTATCAAACATTTTACCAAGATTGACACATTTAAGATTCAGAACTTTCTTGAAATATAATTAGTAGCTATCTTACCTGTTAGTACATGATAAATAGAGATGCATTGATGGTTTCACAAAAATAATGTGTTATGTTACATATGTATAATAACTTTATTTATGAAAGGGGTATGATATAGTAGGTACATATTGAGATATGAGGTAAGTACATATTCATCAGAAAGGACACTAGGGTTAACATCATTTCATTCTGGAAATGAACTTGATACCTCTTCTTCATTCTGAGCTCATCAAAATCTCCACATTTAGAATTCTCACTGGTATTTCTCCATAATTGAAATAAAATAGAAGGCAGCAACATTATTTATTACATGTAGGTAGGAATGGTTTTCCACAACCCTCAACTCCAAAGAAGCTTCTTTCTTCACATATTTTTTATCATCAGTTCCCAGGAAATGTTCAATAAATTATCCAAAAGCAATCACAGGTGCATAATTGATAAGATTTTCCGGATTGTTGTACGTCTTGTTTAGATGATAGCAAAGGAAATAAAACTGAACTATCCAAAAACTATGGAGGTATGTACACACTACTGTCGAATCCCAATTGTCGAGCCTTCTTGTTTGTTATTTTGGGGACATCCATGTATAACGAAACTGCGAATACAACTTTTCAAATACTGAAAAACACTATTTTTAGATTTTTACATTTGTTTGACATTATACCGTCAACCGTCACTATCCGACATCAAGCTCTCTACTGTGACAGATCTGATCAGAAGATCTTGATCGCATAGAATGTCAGAATCATAGAATCAAAGAGAAACAGAAATCATCGGTAAAGTCGAAATTGGGCTTACCGATAATCTATCGTGCCGCCGTCTACACACGAGCCGTGAAATATTAATGGGGTTGTGAACCCGGCTATAAAAAGTCTACAGCTTTTGGAGAATAACAAATGAAGAGCTGTTTCACCATATATCTATCCACCTTTCTACCAAGTTATTGGATCCCTGTTATATATTATAATCATCCTGTTAGTGAGGATTCATTCTTCTGTTTCATGACAGATGATAGTGATAATATGTTTATAAATACGTCATGTTAATAATTCAATTTTCAAAATAAAGATTATTCAATACACAATAATTTGGCGACGAGGATAAAGAAAACATAAGTATAATACCTCGATAACATAGCAGACAATACCAGTATCATCGCAGTCTTCGAAAATGAAACATTGATAATTTCAAATATGGCTCAAGACCTCGCACCCCTAATAACAGCTCTCAGTGGTTTAGTAAATTCCCTTCAAGAACAGCGAAATAAACCATCCACAGTGAAAGATATTCTTCAACGGCAAATACTTACTTTCGAACCTTTCGACGAAAATTGAGAGAGAGTACAGTCCAGAAATTATACTAACTCTAGCAAATGGAGATTTGGTAATGTAGTGAAAAGATTAGGAAGACTTCATTACTTAGTTGAACTAGATGATGGCTATATCATTAAACGACATTTTGATCAACTTCGCTCTTGCCACGCACCAAGAATGACAGTATTTCCTTTCGAAGCAAGTCCATGCCCTAATGTTATTTATCTACCTGATCCTAGCAATACCAACGAACCGAGAAGAGTCACATTCAGTGATTCCGCCGCTCAACAAACGGAACCAAATCAAGAACCGGTGACTAGTGAAACACAAACTCATGTTCCAGCAAAGGACCAAGTATTGATCGATCAACAGCAACAAACTGGATCTTCAACAACTGAAGAATCTGCTGTAAGTTCAGAGAACATGATACCCAATTTGAGACGTTCAACAAGAATAAAAAAACCTGTAGAAAGACTGAATTTCTAGTGATTAAGACGCTTATGATTCCTTGAACAACGTTATAGTTAAAAGGTGAAGAATTGTTATATATTATAATCATCCTGTTAGTGAGGATTCATTCTTCTGTTTCATGACAGATGATAGTGATAATATGTTTATAAATACGTCATGTTAATAATTCAATTTTCAAAATAAAGATTATTCAATACACAATAATCCCCATTCGGGAATTGTTACCAAGTCCATATTTATGTTGTCAACATTTCTTCCTCGTTCGTTTCTGATTTGCTTGGCTGGTATTGAAGCCCTGGAAGAGGAGGCGGTTACTTCCAACAAATCGTTGATATGGAGTAGAAACAGTGTTGGTGCTAGAATTGATCCTTGCGGAACACCAGCATTTATGATGATGCATTTTTCGAGAATTATCACGAGTCTTCGCGAAGCAACGAGGGATAATTTTCTTCATGTACGTTCATTCATGTACGATACAAATTTCCCGCAATTAATTCATGCACGTGGTGGGGGATTCGGTGAGAAAATTTTATACCGGAATTGAACTTTGAGTCAATATTCACTCTCCGTGTACGCTAGTAGAATACAATTCACATTATTGTGTAAAAATAATTGATTTCATATAATCTCCTTACAAGGTTTCCAGAAAATTGAAAATATTATGAAAATTATTTCAATTTTGTCTAATTATATGATAACTGTCATGTGCCAGAATATTTTCAGTCAATAATTTCACGTCTACTTGCGCATGTGGATGAAAAATTTCCAAAAAAATCGCTGGTCACTATCCTAGTAACAATGTCGAAATAAAGCATATGATGGGTTGAAAATGACTGGTACGAAATTTTCGATCAATTCCCATTCTCCATAATATACTGTCCTAACCGATTTCCAATTTCTTTTCAGTTCACGAATGTTAGTTTCATTGGGTCCTATAAAAATGATTATTGCATCTCTTCAAAATGAGATTCTACAGGATGATAATCAATGCTGTGCAATGTTTCTAAACTTCCAAAGGCCTCCCGTTTGGAAAGAAGATTTTTCTACAAGCGTGCGGAAAAGTTTCTGCACTAACTTCAGTGTTGAAAGAATCACATTTCTGCCCTGGGATCTTTCCGACTGCGCCATTTGTAACGATTCTCTGGATAGGATCAAGAATTACACCACTGCCCAAGATGAAACTTTATTTGCATGGAAACATTATTAATAATGTTTCTATTTGACTATAGAGACAGTCCTGTATTCACAGGGCGATTGAGTTTAAGTAATTATATCCATTCACCTTTTAGGGACACTGTATAATAGTATTCCATAATCTATGCTAATATATCATACGCTGAGGAGTGAGGACTGAGGTCATGTACATGGCTGCAAGAAATAAATTAGAATGCATAATTTGATGCTTCAATCTCTATTATATTGGCTGTTTGTACTCGTCATTCTGGTTCAAACGATGTTCAAAAATCTTGAAATGATGCATCGTATGATACAGGGTGGTCCTCAGAAAATAATTATGTGATATGTTAAGCCTTTCTTCACTGATTAGTACACTCCTTGATATACTGACTAAAATGTCCTCTTAGTCCTTTAGCTATTCATAAAATAACAGATTCCTACTATTGAGTCTACTGAGTCTAGGTTATAGCTATGATACATGAAGTGTACAAAAAATGCATCATTAGAGTCTTAAGGATGTAAGGTACCTTCAAAAAAAAACTAGATGAATGAAAATGAATGAAAACTTACAAATTCTCAATTTTATCTAAGATTCCTTGGACATCGCCCAGAAAATGATCCAATTTCTTCTCGTCTGCTCCTTGACGAAGTTTTTCTATTTGAATATTCAGTCCAGCTTCGTGAACCTAATAAGGCCCATAATGTATGTTGACACGTTATAAGGTAACAACCCCTACCTATAACTCTTTCATTTTTGACAGTAGAAAAATAGTTATTTATGTACCAAGAACGAAACACTGTCTATTATAGTCTATTCTGCAAATCAGGCGAGGATAGACAGTTTTTCGTCGAGGTGCATATCAAATTCTGTCGTCCACATCACGGTCCTATTCACAGGTGAAATATACCTACCAATGACGCCCTGCCAAAAATACCTTATGAAGTCTCATGAAAAAATATAGATAAAATATGAGTATTAATAAGGATATATAACCGAGTTCTGTAGCGTATGAGTACATTATCTCTGGCACATGAACTTTCTAAAAGGTTTAATGATATTTCATGAGTATATGTGATTTATAAGCGTATACAAATATGGAGTATGAGAGTTTTTATCAGGCACAAGTGGTTTGAGGAGCCTATGACCACCAATAAGATATTCCACTTCCAATTGGAAAAGTATTCTATGCACATTCATGCGCCTTAGTATATATGAGAAATGTGTAGGAATTCACAAATAGAATTCTATTGGGTATCGTCAGGAAAAAAATATATCAGGATTTTAGAGTTTCACTAAGGAATTCCTTATCTGATTTAATGCGATTTCTATTAGCATTCATGTGACTCAGAATAACTGAGAATTTACGAGTTTCAATTAGACAATGAATGCCCAATCTGAAATGTGTCCAATGAGTGTTTATAAGACAACTAGTTTCTAGGTTTATGAGCTCAAATATGAAAACACGGTTCTAAAATTATAGGTTTCTTATCAGCTTGAATCCGGTAAATAATTATTGAGTAATCATAAGTTTTTAAAAGACAATATAGATATGATCTTTAACGTATTTCATGGGTTTTTGTGAGGGTGAAAAGTGTTCGATAAATTATGATATTCAATAGGGAACTGCTGCCATGATTCTATCGGTTGCTGATGAGTTTGTATGTGGTATATGTGGTTTCAAGTATTCGAGATTTCTTATAAGCAATTACTGATCTATAATGGAACGTATCTTATTAGTCAAGCTGAGGTAAGATGTGTTCCAGAATTCATGAGTGTTGATAAGGATTAACCGTTATAACTGTATTCGTATGTCATGATGTTTCATGCGTTATTTCTGTCTAAGAATTTTGGACAATACATGCCTAATCTGAATGGTATCTAATAAGTTTGTATAAGATATGTTAGTTCTGAGGATTTTTGGGGTTTGAAAAGACATTACTGATTTGAAACGGAATGTATCCTATGGGTCATGCTGAGGCTTGATGTGTATCCAATTTGATGGGTGTTGATATAAGGGTATACCATTATGACTCCATTGGTATTTTGAGAGGTTTTATGCGGGATTGCTGTATAAGGATTCAAGATTTTAGATTAGACAATACATGTCTGATTCGAAATGTATCTCATCATTTTTTATGAGATATGTATCTCATGAGGAAATGTTTGTTTAAGGATTCATGAGAGTTGATAGGGATTCACCGTTATGACTGTATCCATACGTTGAAATGAATGATGCGTTATTGGGATTCGCGAGTTTTGATAAGAAAATACATGTCTAATCGGTATGGTAACTAATTAGTTTGTATGAGATGTGTATATGTTCTGAAGATTTTTGTAGTTGGAAAAGATAATACTGATTTGAAATGAAACGAATCCTATGGGTCAAGCTGAGGCTGTATGTGTTCCAGAATTCATGAGTGTTGATAAGGATATACAGTTATGACTTCAATGGTATGTTGAGAGGTTTCATGCAGCATTTTTGTATAAGGATTCACAAGTTTAGATAGGACAATACATGCCTGATCTAAATGGTATCTAATGAGTTTGAATGAGATGTGTATGTTTTCGAGGTTTGTAAAGACAATGCTGAAGCTAAGGATATAATATGTTATAGACTTCTTGAGGGTTGATGAGGATATATAGTTATGACTTCTAGTATATCGAGAGGCTTTTTCGCAGAGTTTTTTCATGATGATTCACGAGTTTGGATCAGACAGTTCATGTCCAATATAAAATGTTTCCTATAAGTTTGTGTGATTTTTCAATAGTACAATATTTTCAAGTTCAAAATATATATTATTCGATCTTATGAGGATTAATGACAATGATTGACAGTTGTTATATGATGATAATAATAAAACAAGAGGTTTTATGCAGAATCTGTTTACTAGTTTCAATCAGACAATGCATGCTCAATCCAAAATGTATCAAATGAGTTTGTATGAGAAAATCAGTTCAAAGATTTGTAATTCCTAATGAGAACACGCACGGTTCTAATATTATAAGGTTACCAGCAGTTTTTATGAGAAATATAATTTTCGATAGCTCATAACTTCTATTCTGCAAGACACCATTGCGTAGGTACAATTTTTGTGTTCATATAATATATCAGAGTCAGTGCTTGAACGCACGTCATTGTTGAAGGTGAACATTATACAGGGCTCGGCTATGGACTCCTGGGATGAAAACAAGTTGATTTAGGCCAACTTACCTATATCCAAAATCGTGTCGTTGAGTTGGTGCAAGGCGTTGAATTTTTTTTGTGCATGTTCCCCAACTGTAAGTCACTTTTTGAGATGTTCTTGATCATCATCAGTGTCCTGCAAGTGTTTCAAACAACCATGTTGCCGTACAAATTTTGTGATAACTTTCCAGAGGTCGGACTGGAAACTTCCAGTTTTTTTCCAGAAAAATATTCTCTTCAGAAATATTTTTTGTAAATCAACTTGTTTCTATCCCAGGAGTCCACAGCCGAGCCATGTCCGAACCTTTTACAGATACCCTGTATATTTTATTTGAAAATATAACTATATTGATTGTCACTTTCTCGGAAAAAACTTATTGATTTCCTTTTTTTTTCTATATATTCAACACCCCCTGATTTCGTTACAAATGAGTTTCAGACCATCTTTTATCATCTTTTTTTTTTAATCACACGACCCTTTATATTGCCATATTTCCCGATTTATTGCAAAAACTTCAGCTCATCAAAACAGAATTGTTTTTATATTGGTACTGGTATTTCAACTTGAATACACACACAATTCGAAGAGACGAAGAAGCCTGAGGGTTTTTGCCAAATGAATCCTCATTCGATCACATAAAAATCATTCAATATACTTCATATCCTCATACATTCTCATAATTCCTATCAGCATTGCATCAAGAAACTATTATATATTTTCATGCCTACTAGAAACTGATAGATCCACATAAAAACCCGAACAACAAAGCCAAATTCATAACATAGGTAACTCATAAATCCACATAGATTCACATTTGAAAATTCACTTGGAGAGTCATTAAGTCTCCACATAGAGGGGAACACAAAATTCAAGTTGGTAACAAAACAGTAACTTTTTTGCGTTGGTACTTCTGAGACTGAGCTAGCCACTAGCCAGCCATATTTGTTTTAGTTTATGTTGCTCGCGAAGAAAGACAGGTATCTCTGTTTTGATTCGAGAGAATACCCATTATTCTGAAATTATTGTTGAGAATTGAGGTGTGAATTGCATATCATATCATGTGTAGTGTAGTGGATTCGATAGTGCTCCAATCTGAGATAACTTTTGGATAAATGTGAACATTACTCATGATTACCAACGGGATCTGTTTCTTTGTTCGCACCAAGAGGTTGAACATCCGCCATGATGCATAAACTTGTGGGTATTTTTCATCTCGAATATTGCATCACTTCATCCTCATTGCTAATTTGGATTAATGAGGATTCTTGAGTTTGAAATAGACAATTCATTGCTGATATATATAGGGTTCTATAAGTTCCTGTAAGGTTCATATATTTCAATGATTGAAGGTTAAAAATGACTGGCACAATTTTACACATAACTTTGTATCTTGTTAGTTGTTTGTATAAGGTTTCCAATCACGATACTCAATTATATTTCATTGCTCATTCACGAGCCTGAGAAGGTATGATATATGTGTAGAAATCAACGAATATAATCGAAAAAAAATATCGTGTGGAAAGACAGGAAACAGTGAGAGCAGCATTTATTAGCTGTAATAAGGAATCCCGCATCTGATTCAATACGTTTTTTATGAGCATTAATATGATTCAAAACGACTCCAAATTTACAAGTTTCAATGGTGAAATTCAGTGTTGATTACAATCGTATCTTACAGGTTGTTATAAGCAAAATATCTTCCAGGAATTCATACCGTCTAATGAGGAACCACAGATCCGATTACATTGAATCCTCATTGAATGTATGGGGAATGAAATATTTGAAAACCAATGAGATTGTATAAGACATTACTATCCCAATATGCAATGAATTTTATGAGTTTTCATAAGACAATTAATTTTCGAGAATTCACGGAACCAAATGGCATTGGTTTCTTGTGAGTTATTTTTTATTTTGAATTATTGAGGAATCAAAACTTCGATCAATACTGAGCTATCCTGGAAGATGTCATGAATGTTCTTATTTCAGTATATTTCAGGATTTCAGGTTCATATAATCGATGAGTCTTTGTATCCGTAATCAAATTAGGAACGCACGATGTTCTTTGAACATAATAGGAATTCCCTTTCGTGCGCTCCAAGCGATAAAATATATATAAATATATATATAGTAGGAGGCATGAATTTGAAAAATGTCTAGTTTTTCAGTAGATTTTTCATCGATGGGCCTTGTGAATATGTGGCAACATGCATTGTCCATATCACAAATTTTCATATTGACCTTACTGCTGACACAATGATTTCTCATACACTAGTTTCAATTCCACCAACATTAAAGATCTACCAATATTCAGCAATATTTATTGTCTCTAAAAGATGTGGACCTCATTAGTAGCTGGCTATGAAAACAGAGCGAGTGTAGAATGTTTTTAAATCCTTGCCACCTCCCTGTCGAATTCACAAATTTTTCATACGATAGCGAATACCGAGGCGAATACTAATCCAGGATACGAAAATTAGAAATGGTTGTGATATAAAATAAGTTGGTTTCAAATTTTTGTGGTTCTGATATCCTGGACTATTATTCGCCGCTGTATGAAAAAATTGTAAATTCTACAGGTATGTGACAAATATTATAAAACATTTTGCACTCGCTTTTTTTTCATAGCCACCTACTCATTTGGTCCACAGCTTTTATATTCAATAAATACTGCTGAATATTGGTGAATGTTTAATGTTGGTAAAAATTGAATCTATAGTGTGTGACGAAACACTGTATCAGCAACAAGGCAAATATGAAAATTTATGATATGAACAATGTTGCCAGATATTTACAAGTTCAATCGATGAAAAGTCTACTGAGAAACAAGAATTTATCAGAATGTTGGGCTAAGACTAGAAATATCTCATGAGTTGTATATTTTTGAAAAGCGAAAAGCATCAATGTTTCAAATGAGGAAAAATATACGTGATGTTCCATTTGAAAAAACATAACTTTGCATTGATTATATCTGAATAATAACAGCTTATTCTGAAATTCTGATTACGCCACTGGATTCTACGTGAAAAAATGTATGACAAACACTTTCGACTTTTTCGATGAATTGGAAGATGGTTGAGATACAAGAAGGGTCCCGAAATGCAGCATTTTCAATTTTGCCCTGTATCTCAAAAAGGCAGCGGGCTACAAAAACTTGGTTAAGGGTATCGTGAGTTTCACTAAAAAGAAGCCCACGTTTGCGAAAATGGGAAATCTCTATTTTAGAAAATAAATGAGATACCTATCCCGTTATGACATCGAAAATGGGACAGCCTGTACAGGGTATTCACGAATATTTCGAACCCCTACTCAATTTTTTTATGTATTGTCAATTTTATTCATCCAAGAAACTTTCTTCAATACTCTTCCTTTAAATTTGCAAATTTTATATATGCCAATGAAAAAACTGACTATTTTTTTTAAAGTTCAACTGTTTTTCTGTTGGTTTATACAGAAAAAATATGAGAGATCGTTCTTGGAAACAAAATCGAATGATACATGAAAAAATAAGCAGGGGGTTCAGTACAAAATACTGAAGAACTGTCAATAGTATCTCTTTATGAATAGATATGTTGTACTCATTTCAAACTAATCAATGCCACGCTGTTTCAATCAAGACTTCCAATTAGGAACTGATGATAAGTGTATATGCACAACAAAGTTATACATCAGGAATTGATCATGAATATACCTGCAGAACGCATTTCAAACTCATAAATGCCACTGTAGTACAATGAGAAACTCTGACCAGGAACTGATTATGAATGTATCTGCAGAACACAGTTCATACTCATAGAGTTAATATGGAATTTCTATGAGGAACTGATTATGAAAGTATCTGCAATAAACATTTCAAACTCATAAATGCCACTGCATTCCGATAAGGAGTTCTGATCAGGAACTGATTATAAATCTATCTGCAAATCAGAGTTCATATGGAATCGCTATGATGAACCCATTATGAATGCATGTATCTACAATACACATTTTGAACTCATAAATACCACGGTATTTTAGTGATAAATTCCGATTAGTGACTGATTATGAAATGTATCTGCAAAACAGAATTCATACTCGTAGATTCCATATGACTGTGCTATAATAAGCTATCCTCGAAGCTATCTATGAATGTATCTGCAATACACACTTTGAACTCATAAATGCCAAGGTATTTGAAAAAAATCCCGATTAGGGACTAATTATAATTAATGTATCTGCAAAACAGCGTTTATTGTCATACACTTCGAAAGAAATTGCTATTAGGAACTGATTATAAATGTATCTGTGAAACACAGATTATACTCATAGAGTACGTGAAAAACTGCCAATAGGAACTCATTATGATTGTTCCTGTGAAACACATTTCAAACTGATAAATGCCACGGTAATTCAATGAGGAATTCCAATAAGGAACTGATGATAAGTGTATCTGCAAAACAGAGTTATACTCTAAGTGTTCCTGAGGAATTGCTATCAGGTATTGATTATGAATGTACCAGCAGGATACATTTCGAACTCATAAATGCCACTGTGCTCCAATAAGGAATTCCGATTAGGAATTGATTATGGATGTTTCTGCAAGACAGAGTTCATACTAATAGAGTTCGTACGGAATTGATATAAGAAACTCATTCTGAATGTATCTGCAACACACATTTCAAACTCATAAATGCCACGGTATTTCAATAAGAAATTATAATAAGGAACTGATTGTGAATGTATCTGCAAAACAGTTTATACTCAAAAATTCCCATTATAAATGTATCTGCAATACACATTTTCAACTCATGAATGCCACGGTATTTCAATGAGAAATTCCAATCAGGAACTGATTATACATGTATCAGCAGAACAGAGTGCATACTCGAAGACTTCGAAAAGAATCGCTATTAAGAACTGATTATAAATGTATCTGTGAAACACAGCTGATACTCATTGAGTACATGAAGAACTGTCAATAGAAACCCATCATGGATGTACCTGTCAAACACATTTCGAACTGATAAATGCTACGGTGTTCCAATGGGGAATTCCAATTAGGAACTGATGATGATTGCTATAAGGGACTCATTATGAATGTATCTGCAATACACATTTCAAACTCATAAATGCCACGTCAATTCAATAAGAAATTGCAATTAGGGACTGATTTCAAATGTATCTGCAAAACAGAGTTCATACTCATAGAGTTGCTAGTAGAAACTCATCATAAATGTATATGCAGAACACATTCCATTCTCATGAATGCCACAGTGTTTCAATGAGGAATTGCCATCAGAATATGATTATAAATGTATCTGTAAAACATAGTTCATACTCAAAGACTTCGTTGAAAATTGCTATTAGGAACCGGTCATAAATGTACATGCAGAACACATTTCAAAATCATGAATTACGATGTTTTAATAAGGAATTGCCATTTAGAACCGATTATGAATGTATCTGTGAATTACAGTTCAAACTCATCGACTCCATTGAGGATTGCCATTAGGAACTGATTATAAATGTAACTGCAGAATACATTTCGAGCTTATAAATTACTGTTTCACTATCCAACTTGACTCTAATATATCCTCATATGTAAATAACCAGGAATTACTAGTAGGAACTGATTATGAATATATCTGCGAAAAACAGTTCATACTTATGAGAAAAAGGGAGAGAATCGCCATTAGAAACTGATTATATATGTATCTGCAAAATACATAGGATTATACGGAATTACTGTTTCACTATCCAACTTCATTCTCATTAATTCTCATATATATTTTTTTATAAGTTTCTATGAGACATTTTTGGCAGGGCGTCAAAACATCATGTACTTTTAGTAAACAGGAAATCAACCTATTTCCAACAAAACAGAAACAAACATGCAAAACAAACAAAAAATCCTCCGTATGGCCGGTTTTTTTATACTGTGGAAAATAAAAGAGTTATAGGGGTGGTACCCAGTGCAATTTTCAATATTCACCATAGATGTCTGGCTGTTTTTTGACACTGTGTTTTCCAAGTCCAATAAAACACACGTTTGCAAATCGATCACTCTCTTGAAGTGTCTGTCCCACAGAGAAGCAGATCCTTTCAAGAATCGGTAAGTGGTATACACACTGTCCTTCATCTGGTCAATTTTCTCGTTCCATATAGACTGGAAGATATGAAATAAGTGCTTAGCACTCGAGTTTTTTGTTTCATTCGAATCATTGCCAATTGCCGAAGCAGATATATTTGATATATTTTTGAACTATCTCAGAAATAATGTGCAGTTTGATGGTGTATTGATTGTGATGATGGAACATCGAAGCAATTCCTTTGACTTTTTCTCACTAGGGTGTATGCGTGTGTGTTGTGTTGTGTTTTGATCTGAAAAATTTTTATCGATGTTTGCTATGTACCGAGGTGATTGAAATTGACGAGTAGTTTCACCACCGCCATCTTAGCTGTCAGTAGAAGCCTGAGTAAGGGTGTTTTGATGATGACTTCGTACGAATTTTGCTTCAATTCAAAATTATTCGAACCACCTTTGGTGGGGACAACCTACTGACTAATGTTGATTGTCTTTATTACCCCAAGAAACATACCTGTTTATAATAGGGATACATAAACACATATAAAGAAATGATAATAAAAGGTGGAATAAGGAATTCCACTCGGTGGAAACAAATTCATAGTTTTTCTTAAGATGGAAGTTATAACATTTCAATTCTGTATATTTTTTAATTGATTCGGTAATGAATTGTATGAACTTATTCCGTTATGAAATACATATTGTTTGGCAAGTTCGACTTGAATGTATTTATTCCTGACGAAATGAAAGGAACAACATATTTTGAGTTTACTTAGGTATAATGCAATTAGAATCTAGAAATTGTCTAGGTATGTATAAATTTACTTTTGATTCTAGAAAATTCAGATGAAAAATGCACTCAGTTTATTTGTTTTCTGATTTCATTAGTGGTTTTAGGCAAGAAATATTTGTGCTCCTCTCAAAAAGAAATTGAATATTGTAAATTTGAGTATATGAGGCAGAAGTGAATACCCTCCTGGTATCTTATAGAAATGATATTTCTGATTCATTTCTCAAATGGTCGATGTGTTTTGTCCACAATAATTTTTCATCAACTATTAGAGTTTTCATATAGATCACCCTGTATATGTCACCTGCAAATTTTCGAAATCACTTTCAAATTGTACATTGAGTTCTTCGACTGTCGGCGTGTAAATCTCACTCTGATAATCTTCTATGTCTTGCTTATCCATCAATCCACTTTTAGCCATGGAATCTTTCAATTTCGCGAGTTCCCCAAAAAATCTGTTGAACAGTATTATTATGATGGACTTGTAGAGAGAAACCAAATTTCTAGCGTTCAAATCTAGAAAAAAAAAACAGAGGATATGATTTGAGGATAAGATGTATTGTATGACATCTTCTGGAATAGGTATAATAGTTTTGCTGTTTCTAATTGAACATTCGATCAAGCTGCCCTGAACTGAAAACGAAAAGATAACCAGAAGAAGGAAGGACAACCTTCTGTGCGAGAAAGATAATAAACAATCGAAATATTATCATTACACATTAGGCTAATCACAATCAACAAATTAATTAACAAATTCAACGAAAACAGCACATATACAGAGTTTTTTTTATGTTCTGGTTCCGTGGAAAACCAGGGAAAATGAGGTAGGAATTGGTGTTCTGCAGGTCTCCAAAGTGAACACGAAGGGGTGCGAAGCCTCAACTCGACGGGTTAATCTCGCGGGACTGCCAAGGGAAGAACAATTGTTGATATTTCAGAAGAGCATCGTCCATGAAAATATCTATAAAATAGAGCCAGATTGCCAGCTTTTCTACGGTGTTCCAGAAAAGTGAAACTGTTGAACAGAATCCAACAGTTTCAGGGTATGTTTGGGTGCTGCACTCCAAATATGGGAACAGTATTCCAGGACAGGTCAGATCTGTGCCTTATAGATCATAAGCAGTTGACTGGAAGTGAAATAGCTCTTGGCCCGAAACAAAAAACCAAGTTTTTGGGATGCACTTTTAGCGATTGATTTCACGTGATTTTCCCAAGAAAGGTTATTGCTGATAGTAATACCAAGCATCGAAATTGATGTCTTCAAAGGTATGGTTACTCCTGACAAGCTTTTGTTGGGCAAGGTGAGATCGGCTATTCTAGAGAAAAGGCATGCTTGTGTTTTGTTTGCATCGAAATCTACCAAGTTATTGGATCCTCATTCGAGAATTGTTGCCAAATCCCAATTTATGTTGTCGACATTTCTCCCTCGTTCGTTTCTGATTTGCCTGGCTGGTATTGGAGCCCTGAAAGAAAAGGCGGTATGGGGGGTACTATCATCCGCGAAGCTGTGTACTGGACATGCAGTTGCTTTCAATAAATCGTTGATATGGAGTATATATAAATAGTGTTGGTGCTAGAATTGATCCTTGCGGAACAACAGCATTTATGATAAGAGAGTCAGATAAAACTCCGTCGACCACTACATGGAGAGACCTGTTTGATAGAAAACTAGCTAGCAGGGGACATAGCTGGGGAGACAAGCCATAAGATGGAAGCTTGGCGAGGAGTCCGTGGTGCCAGACTCGATCGAATGCTTTGGAGATATCGAGCGTCACGGCAAAGGTTTCACCATATTTCCAATAGATTGCTGCCATATATGTGAGACGTAAGCGAGCAGGTCACCAGTTGATCTCTGATGACGAAAGCCGTATTGCCTATCGTTGATAATACCTGAATGTCCCAGGTATTTCATGAGCTCGATGTTGATTGGTAGAGAAAAACTGGTGTTCACAGCTCGCTTGAAACTGGAATAATGAGTTGGTCGTACCTAAAGATGCTAATGTTTTCTGTACATCTTTCAGCCATAGTTCGACCTCTTTTTGACTGACTGGTATACCAGATGCGCCATCGTTGGGCCATTGCAGATCATTTTGTTGCGTTTCTAGTTTGTGAAGTGCGTCTGCCACTTCATCGGATTGACATACTGTCGCTAGTTGACTTCTGAGATCGCTCTTGAGTCGACTTGAAATGAAAATTATAATAGTATAATATGTAATATACTTTTCCTATGACTACTATGGAAAATCGGTAAGAACACAACGATATACAGCCTCAATAAGTTTTTGTTGCTGTTCCTTATTACCCCAAGAAATATCTTTGTTTATAATATTGATATATAAATATATATTTGTCCAAGAGCCGGCTGCAAATGGCGACCGTCTTCTGATAACGGAAAGATATATTTCCCAAAGGAATGTGAAACCATTGTTGTTTATTGAACGGCACCTGTGCCAATCAATATCCTGAGCAAATTGATTGAGAAATTGCACTTGAAGGCAGTATGGAGGGTACTATCATCCGTGAAGCTGTGTACTGAACATGAAGTTGCTTCCAATAAATCGTTGATATGGAGTAGAAATAGTGTTGATGCTAGAATTGATCCTTGCGGAACACCAGCATTTATGATAAGATAGTCAGATAAAACTCCGTCGACCACTACATGGAGAGACCTGTTTGAGAGAAAACTAGCTAGCAGAGGACATAGCTGGGGAGACAAGCCATAAGATGGAAGCTTGGCGAGGAGTACGTGGTGCCAGACTCGATCGAATGCCTTGGATCTCTGCATATGACTGTCAATTGGCGTTATGTTTGGAGGTTGTTTCTCCGATGATTCCAGAGTGGAATTTCCAGCAAATAAATGCACAAAAATGTTGGCTTCCTCCTGGGTAGTTGTAGCTGGTGTTCCATCTTCCTAGGTTAGAAGAGGAAACGAGCTTGAAGTGAAGTTTCCTCCTACAGCTTTGGCGAAGGACCAAAATGAACTACAGCGATTTATTTGGTGCTATTATCCCGGACATACTTTCGTCATATTTTATAAAATATCCGATATTCGCATTTTTGAGTTCGGACTTTTTATGAGGAATTACTCCTCTTCCTAAAATCAACAATAAAAAGGTTTTCCATTTGTTGCCACTTTTTTCAGGCACACTGTATATATTTATATATCTCAAATATCTTCAGATGTTGTGGTTGTTTATATTCCTATTATGTGAAAAATCTATTTATTTTTATTTATTGAAATTGTGACTTCCAGTCAGAATGAAATCCTGGTATAAGAAAGTATAGTCAACAATAATACCTAAGACTATACAATTATGATAAACTCATAAATAATACAATATTTGAATATATTAAGTATTCAATTTTGACAAAACATTTCATATTGATGATCAACAATCAATTTGAATATGAATCAAAAGCTGAAACAAAAATCATCTATTACGTTGAGGAATGAAACATTATTCAAGTTCGTATTTGAATCATATTTTTATCTGCAAATTTTTTATATTATCTGTTGATTTGTAATATTCGAGAAGAGCAGCGTGAGCGAACCTTTTTTGACCTATAGAAGAATTAGCGATTCGATATGAAATAAACCATAATCAAACTGTGCGTTTTGCTTACCGTCCGTGCGTAATGAACTACTCACTGAGCTGAATATCATGTGTTCTTGCCTATTTTCTATAGTGGTCGTAGGTAAAGTATAGTGTAATCAATCGATATTATTTCTTCCTCAGTCCAGAGATACTTACTCAACACTCTTTTTTGATAGCTGCTTCACATAAAATTTCTGCCTTTCCTTGATTTCCAGAAGTTCCTCTGACCAAAATCTCATATATCGTGATACTTGAAGTTTCAGGTCTCTTTTGAGCTCGGCAAAATTTTGGCAGTTGTTCAAAGTAATTTTATTCAGCTCCTGAACAATGAGAGTATTTTTCATCAACAGGTCTCATATTGCTTTTATCATTATTATGGCATGTCGATAGGTGATTCATTCAGTTATTGCATGTGTGAATTCACACTTCTGCATATAATTTCATGATTCAATTACTTATTTATTTATTTATCCATTAATTGAATCAAGTGAAATCTACATTTTGCCATCGAATATCAATTACATGTATATATATTTCATATTGTATCTCATTCACATAAGTTAGGTTAGTGTGTGTAAAAGAGATGAATTAATTCAGGTATGAAATTGTTTTTCAACGAAATAAATACATAAAGTGGAAAAAAATAAAGAGATCAAATTGAAATAAGAAAAACAGAGTTTTTTTTTCAAGTCGTACATTGTTGATTTTGTTTCTTGTATCATATGATGACGGATTTCAGAACAATTTTAGAACAATTTTTGAATAATAACTATATATGAATGATTTTATTGGTTATTGTTATTATAACGAATACAATTTCATACCAGGAAGTATTAATTCAATGTACCAAAGAAAATCAGATTTCACAGCAATGAATGTACATGCTGTTCCCATTTTTGATGTCCTTCCGGGATATCTTACTTATTTTCAAAGATAGAGTTTCGCGATTTTCCCGAACGTTGATGGCCATGTTTTTGTGAATCTCACGACGGTATACTCGATATTTCATACATATGGGAACAGATTTCACAAGTTTTAACACACAGTAACTGTGTTTTCCAACAAAATTCACGTTCATGAAATTACCTTACACATCCATTATAACATATTTCACACGAAGAGCAAAGAAAAACAGGTTTTACGCGAAAAAATCAGATTTCTGTGGATTTCACACGACCGGAAACAAACATTACACAAACAAGAACACATACTTCATAATATTCTGAGACAAAATTATTCCCAAAATTAATCTTGATTTCAATCAGAGGAAGATAATTTTATTTACCAAGATTTCTTCGTAGAAGAATTTGTCAACTTGATAGGGAAGAAAGTAGGCGGAAGAAAACACAGTGTTTCTCGTCTCATTCATTATCAATTTCAGGATTTCAGATCGTTTTTTATCGACGTCTACCAGCTTCTCATGGAATTCGTCGACTGTTTTCAGCAGAATTTCGTAGGAATCAGAAACCTTCAGAAACGGTTTGTTCACAAGGTCTTGTCCATGAATAAGATTGTCATGCATCTAAAAAATTAATACCTAATTCATGATATGGGTTGGGCATATGTGTGGAAATTTCTGACTAAATCAATTTTTTTACTTTCATCATGACTGATAATTGTTTTTGTTATACTAAGTGGCCAATGTTGATTTTTGGTAGCAATAATATTGTTGCAAATATGACGAAGTCAGCAGGTCTTTTAATGTTATGAATTTTTTTTTCAGTAGCTTTTCTTTGAACTGTAGGAAGTGGTTGAAGAAATATACGATGACATAATAATTGATAAATAATGTCTAATATTTCAGTTTTTACGTTGCCATAAAACTGATGGAAAGTGTTCAATAGTAGAGCTTCTTCTGCTTGCCAAGCCTCAAGGACTAACCTTGAGAAATATTCAAATGTTTTTGGAAACATAAGTAAACGAGTAAAACTCAAATGAAACATGTTTTATTGATTCATATCGTAGACACGGCAAACTTCATATGAATGTTAGTTAGAAGGATATAGCTACCCGAACAAATATCCATATATAGGGTGATCGATTTGAAAATACTGCTGACTGTTCCATATTTACAACAGTGTCATAGCTACCAAAAATCTACATTGGCCACTGAGTATAGAGCATAGGCCCAATCTTGTACGTATGTTCAATTATTGGAAAGTGAACTAGCGATTGTTTCCACTTCCTCTGTTCTTCTGCAACATATCGATTATCTTCATAACTCTATTAAACTATTAAACATTGTTGTTTATAATACAGATTGACAACATATACTATACCTACACCGTATCCATGAAGTAACTCTTGCCCCTATAGCTACCATTTGAAGGGCTGTGAACTTTATTTAAATTTTTTATGTACTTCAATGGTAGTTCAATTGCTACATTCTGATTCAGATCGAAACCATTTTATAATTTTTTTTTCTACTCACATAACTAAAATGGCATTTAGCGTACGGATATGTACCACGCTAAATGATCGATTGATCACGGATTGTCGATCTGTGATTAATTCAAAATATTAAACACGTTACCATGGCAACACGATTTCTTAAACACATTACCATGGCAACGCAGTTCATTAAACACAGCTTCAGTAATTTGAGACATGTCTGGCCTGTCAATTGTATTAACTGTCAAATGTTATTTTCGAATTTTTTATCAGAGTTATTCAAACAATATTCGTTTGTATCAGAATGCTTCATTAAAAATATGTGCGACAAGTAGACGAAAGTGAAATCGAAGAGAATGTTCTGGTACTTGCATATCTCCAAGAGGTGTAAAAATGAAGCAAACAATTTATTTTTTCTGCGCTAAGCATGACAATAAACGTGAAACAAAGGTTAGTGAGCAATGGACTCGACATACATCTACAACCAATATCACTTATACGTGTCTCGCTGGTTTCATGCAGTTGCATGTATTATATATGTTCTCAATTCCCATTCCTTTCGAATTATTTTGTAGATTAGCAGGAATTGCAGGTATGTTAATGTAATTTTTGGAGTTCGTAGAAAAATCATAGTATGTAACGCGTTTATAAACTCTTCTAGACACTCGTTTATTAAACACTCGCTCCGCTCTGCTCCGCTCGTGCTTAAACTACTCGTTACTAAAAGGACATTTATAACACTTGTTACATAATATACTATTTCAATGGAGTGGAGCCTAATGGGGGTCTTTCCAGTATTCTATACGACAAAATGGCGAATAAGTTTTGAATCTCATCCTCAACTATCCATTGGCATCCAGATAAGTTCTCTGACCAGAAAAATATCTATATTGTAGGAAATTGGAATGACATGGTAGTCAATGATATCTCATTTTTAATGTCTCTGGATTATTCCAGTCTCTTCAAAATTGAGGATATGTCTATTCCAAATCAATAACAATGCTAACTTTCATTTTGTTCAAGATGGCTATCTTTCGAAAATGTTTTGAATACAGAATAATGGAGAGTTGAAAGTTACGCGATAGCACATTAAAAGTTATCTAGTCGGAAATATTCTGGCATGAGTATGTAGAGTGAAGAGGGTACCTTTTGTGTTGCATATAGAACTTTGAGATGATTCAAACATACCAATCAACAAACACGTTGTGATCAACGAAAAATACGAACCTTGATGTATTCAAATTTCACTGTGCGTACTAATAAATCCACTTCTTCTTTCAGCTCCCCAAAATTTCTATTGAATATATCCGATTCGTTCTTGATTGCTTCATCGGCTTCCAAATTCAGCTTCCGCTGTCTTTCCCTCATACTTTTTATGGCATCTTCGTGAGCCTTCTTTCTTCTTTCATTCAGTTTTTCTATCACCTCAGATGGCCTCGAAACTGATACTTTTGAAGAAAATAGGAATTAAAATGTTTTCCTACGAGCGTGCGGAAAAGTAACTTTTCCGCATGACTTTTCGTTTTGAAAGTTGTACTTTGACGACTTGCCTTGTGTGTACGTGTGTGTGTACTTGTGCAAGTACCGTTGCGTGCGAAAAAGTGCTACTTTCCGCACTTGTTATAGGTAAATAACTATCTCGTTGATTGAGTGAAGACTCAAAACTAGAGCGTTTAAATTTCAAATTGGTAGTGAACACTTTTAAATTGACAATATGTGTTCGATCGATTTTCACTTATAATATCACGAGAGCTTCAATTATTTCCGGAAATTTTTTCGAGTACACGAATATTTTGAAAATGTTGAATGAGAATTTTCAAAATATTCGTGTTCGAGAAAAAAATCCCAGATATTAATTGAAGCTGAAGTGGTTATTCGGTAAGAAAATTTCACACTGAAATATTATTAAAAAATTACTTGGATAATGACGATTTTTGATGGTTTTGGCATTTGAATAGTAGGCTTTGTATGTTAACTCAAACCTAGTAGGTAATTCTATCTTTTGAGATTATCTGCAGTATTTTTTATCTGAATAAATTCGTTGTGTTGTAGAGTTTGTAGAGATCAAGCGATTCGCGGAATACGGTTTATGCAAGTTTTGTAATTAAGTTAGTGACATTGAAAAGTATCATCGGAATCTAAAATTTTTAACGTACTAAGTAGAAGAATGCGGACCAGAAATTTATTCACCGAATTTGTTTGGGATTATCAAATATCATTTGCTTCTGGTGTGTGAAAAATATGGAGCTCTTCGTGGATTACAGCAGAATGAGATTGTTTCAAAGTACTACATATTATTATATTTCATGCAACATAGACATTTTATACGTTCTAGTGAATGTTTGTTTTTATATTCTCCATTGAAGAAAGAAGACGTAGCTAAGGAATTTCAACAACACTTTTTTTTTTTTTTTTTTTTTTTTTTTTTTTTTTTTTTTTTTTTTTTTTTTTTTTTTATCGCTTGGAGCGCACGAAAGGGAATCCCTATGATTTAGTTGAAAATGATGGTTGTTTGTGATGAAATGTAATAACTAACGTATAGTAACAACATGTGTTTTTGTAAATTTCGAATTTGCAAGTATATCTATATAATATTATATGGTAAACTGTTGATAAATGATTTTTATTCATGGACTTATAGAATGAACTCGAAATGATCTGAAGTTGATTGTGAATGTCATTTAACCTATGAACGTCAAAAAATTTCCAGTGTAATTTCATGCTCCGTCCCCCAAGCAGGAAAAAATTTTCAAGAAATTTGTTTAGTTGCTATGGTAACGATACGAAATACAGGCTTTGAAATGTTTGGTGTGGAATTTTCATACTCAATTTGAAATTTACTATTCTCAATTTGAATCTGTTTATTCTAAACATGAATGTGTCCATTTTGGATTTGGAGTTTGCCAATCAATTCTGAATTATGCTGTCCTCCAATTTGAAACTGATTATCTCCATTCGGAAGTATGAATATTTGATCATCATACAGGGCGTGGAAAGAAAATTTTGAATTGAGAAAACTCATTCATGAATCTGTGATGAGAGGTCTGTAAAAATTACGAATTTTCATCGTTCATCAAGTTTGAACCCTTTGATTGGTTATGGAAGTATTGAAAGGAATATTCTCAGACATATCATATTATGAACATGGATAAAGGATACATATCAAGAAATACATTGAGAATTCGCTTTATTTTTCTAATAGAAATATCAATTATTTCTCGGTACCTATGTGCAAATTCTCAACTTCAGAAAATTTCATTTTCAAATTCTTATCGTGTGTGTTCAACAGATGCAATTGAATGTTCGTCGTGGAATATAGCCAGAGAAGTAGTTGTTTTCTGTTGAATCTATACCTTGAATTCATATTTCTATCAAATAGAGAATGCGAATTCTCAATGTATTTTTCTTATATGCATCCATTTTGTTCATGTCCATAATATATCTGTGAATAATCCTTCTCAATGAATATCTTCAATTTGAAATTGATCATTCATGAATCTAGCCCAGGAATAATTCATTATTTTACATTGAATTCATAAAAGATACGTCATTCTCATTTCAGTACTCTGCTATGTACTCACCAAAATTAGAAGGAAGAGTTCTGATATCGAAATCATCACACATTTCGTGAATTTGTTATTATGATTTCATCAGACGACAGCTGTCATCAGCATGCCACTATTGACTGTGTGTATGTTATCTCAGTACCACGATCCAAATATTTTATTTGTAACAAAAATAACAATCAAAACAATCAATCAATCAAAAAAACACAAGGCAAGACAATATAATAAATAGAATAAATAAATAAATAAAGTTTAAACGATCAAAGTCTCATTCAATCAAACTTCTTTGGTTGCAACTTATGCCCATATCCTTCATTCTCCTCCTCGGAAGCAATCTCTTCCTGGGAGTAATCATCGTACTCTACAGACCGCTCTTCAGAATCACCCCGTATATCATCCTCCTCCAATTTATCTTTACCACCAACAGTCTCATCAGGTATGAAAATAGCCATAGGTTCTTTGGACTTGCTCATTATGGACCCGATCTTCATCAAGTTGCTGTTGATCTTTCCAGCTGCCTGAAGCTGCGCCAGCTTCTCAGCAGCTTCCTTATTTGGCAGGGAGGAGTAGAACGAAGGCAGCTTCTTATCCAGCTGCTTGGCAGGTTCTGGTTCGGTCTCACCAACATCAGACCGCTTCTCAAAGTAGTTTTGGACCACTTGCTGCGAATGTGCTTCTGGTTCTTGATCTGCATCTTCAGGAGCTTCAGCGCTTGGATCCAGATTGTAAGCTGCAGACACCAAGGAAGACAGTTCGCCCTTGGTCAAGCTCTTCTGATGCGCTTGTTCATCGTAGTTAAACGACTGAAACTCCGGTTGGAAGGTTATTTTGTTGGAGGTTAGCTGCGAAGCAACGTCTTGCTGCAGCTGTTCTACGTTGATAGGTTCTGGGTGGAACAGCTGCTGATGATCGGACGATTCTGGGGCTTGTTGTTGTGGGTATGCTGTGGCTATCAGTTTGTAGAGGTCCTGGGGACTTAAATTGTTGCCCAAGATGATGTCTCCTTGTGGGAATTGTTTATTGTTCTGTGCTTGTGTGTCTGGAGTGAACTGCTGTTGCTGGAATTGCCTCAGTGACTCTTGCTCTAGTTGCTGCTGCTGTTGCTGATGCTCCTGTTGTTGCTGCTGCAGCTGTTGAACTTGGAACTGGTTTATTTGATTCTGTTGTTGTAGTCTGTATGAGTTCTGGTTGAAAGATGGTTCTGGTTGTTCAGTCACTTGATACTGATGACTTTGTTCTACCTTAAGGTACTGAGCAGTTTGCTGTTGTTGCTGCTGTTGCTGCTGTTGCTGCTGTTGTTGCTGCTGATGCTGCTGATGCTGCTGTTGAAGCTGCTGTAGCTGCTGGTGCTGCTGATGTTGCTGCTGTTGCTGTTGATGTATTTCGTTCCTGATTTCTTCAATTACGAATGGTTGTTGGTATATTTCGTTTCTAGCTTCTTCAATTATGTAGGGTTTATCTTTTGGGCTAAGATTAGGTGCTGGGATGGTGTGTATTGGCCCTTTTTCTCCTATTTGCTTGATTGGGTTCACGTAGGATGTCGGGATGTTGTTGGTTTGAATCTGGTAGTCATACTCCTGCAAGAGTAGCATGTATTAATGCTAATGAAGAAACAATGGAAACATTACTTGTATTATTTCAAACGTCTATATGAAGAAACCCACTAAACATGATACATAATAAAAATATGTTTTAGTTATAAGTTTCGTGATATTGTTGAAATAACATTGCGATAATGTCCTTCTGAAGTATCCAACATAATATTATGAAGTAAAATGTTTATGAGACGTTGCATCAATATTGAAATCAATATCATTCGATAATATTGTGATATTGTTGATTTTAAGTTCATCAGATATATCTCAGACAGAGTTATGTTTTTGTGCAACATTTTCGTTTCACCACCTTTCAACGTAGCTTATTACATACAGTGTGTCCACCTTAAGGACTTACCACCCCTGTAAAATCGTTATTATTCGACCAATTTCGAAAAACCTTTTTTTGTTGGATAGGTATTTGAAATGCCCATCCAACGAGAGAGTGATCTAATTCTTGGACTGTTATCGTGGCCAACTGCGACAAATTTCAATGACCCATATTCCAGAAAGTACTATTGAGGATTTTTTTCCAGGAAACTTGATGATGGATTCTGAATCAGTACCACTTGAAATATACCTGTACCGATTTTCATCATCATAAAACACAGGGTGTCCGAAAAAACGAATCATCATTTTCTTCAAATAGGTGATCAGCAAATGTAGTTCTCTGGTTTTTCTAGAAAGAAATATATCACAAATTATCATTGCGGATTATTTCAAATATACCTGTACCAATTTTCGTCATTTGAATATACAATGTGACTGAAAAAAAATTAAAAAGGATAGGTAAGCAAATTTTTTATCCTGATAATTCCTTACTCAAAATAAAAAGATGAATCAGGATCACTTGGAACATACCTGTACCGATTTTCATCAACACAGGGTGTTCGAAAAATCAAATCAATATTTTTTTGAGTGGATGAAAAAATATTGCCTACTTTATCTTTTTAATTGTTTTCTCATACACATCGTATTTTTGAATGATGAAAATCGGTACAGATATTTTCAAAGTGATCCTCAATAATTATGTGTCATCAATTCTTCTCAAAAATACCACAATACTACATTTTCTGATCGCCTATTAAAAAAAAAACAAAATTCGTTTTTTCGGACACCCTGTGTTTTATGATGATAAAAATCAGTAAAGGTGTTTTTCAAGTGATCCTGATTCAGAATCCATCATTGTTTTTTGTGAAGAAAAATCCCTAATAGTACTTTCTCAAATATGGGTCAATAAAGTTGGTCGCAGTTGGCCACGATTACAGTTCATGAGTAAAATCACTCTCTTGTTGGATGGACATTTCAAATACCTATCCAACAAAAAATAGTTTTTTGAAATCGGTCAGATAATAACATTTTTACAGGGGTGGTAAGTCCTTAAGGTGGACACACTGTATATAGAGGATACAATAGGATGATATTTTTCCTTCTATGGCAAAGTAACCTTGTCAACTGTCAAAAGTCAAGAATAGGATTTCGAAATAAGTCAGGAAACTTCCAAAAACTCGTTCACCTATTCAACTATTCAGAATTTCAGTAAGAGATCACGGGTTATGCAGAAATATATAGCTAAGCTAGGTGTGACTGGATTTATGAAGCAGAATACCTAACTAAAATGATACATAGAAAGATAGTAGTAAATCTGTCTCAATAAATCACTGTGTACTTATAGTCTTTCAGGAGTACGGTAAGATCAATTTATATTCAGAGATAGATCATCTTCTCTGTCTTTTGTGAAGATCATTTAGATGATTGTCTTGATGATTCCAGACAAAATAGACCTAAAAACTCCTTGAAAATAACTAGAATATCAATATACGATAATATTGTTTGAATGTATTGCGAGTAACATTGATTTTGTGTGATTCCTGATATATTCATATAATATTCACCATCAACATTACATTGTAACATTCAAAAGAGGCACAATGGCCACTTTCCACAACGTATCTGAGACATTAAGCATCTCTCTGAATAACATCACAAAGTAACAAACAATGTAATATAACATTTATGTTTAAGTTATGTTTTCATGTTTAGTGGAAATGCAACATCTGCTAACTTGTACTTGTATATTCAGTCAAAGATTATTGTTTTTTATAGGTCTCTATCCATTTGTAAGTCCTCCAAGAAATCTAGTTCATTGAAACTTTATTGAATTAACCTCTTCCGAAATTTGTGCATTGCGTTTGAGACTATTCTTACCTGAGCAGATATGCTTGGCGAGGATAAAAACGGTTTCTCCTGGTGAACCTGCTGCAGCTGTCCTTGCTGCAGCTGAGCCTGCTGCAACTGCTGCTGCAAAAACACCTTCTCAGGCTGTGGAAACTTCATCGGCACATGGGCGTTCTTCCAGAAAGTCCTGAGGGGCAACGAAACGGGTCTGGGTGGAGCCTGGGGTATCCCCATGGGGACCCCCATGGGGCCCTTGTGATAGTTATGCATCAGGTGTGGCATGGGGGGCTTGGAGCCTTTCGGAGGGCCCCTCTGAGGATACTGCGGGAGCTGATGCCGTTTATTGGGGAAGTCTTGGTGGTTGGGGGCTCTAGGAGGGTAAGGAGGCCCTCGGAGTTTGTATCGGGGGTATTCGGCTGCAAGGAGCGTGCATGCTGAGAGTAGGATCAGAAGAATGATCTGAAATAATCGAAAAAAATCAATGTAGATTCTACTTGATTCAATAAATGAATGAATGATAGCTATTTATATATCAAGGGAGTGGAAGTATCCATTTTCTCCCGCGTGTGAAGTGAAGAAACACACATGGGAGAAAATGAACCTTTGCTCCCAAGATATATACACTCACCGACAAAAAAAAAACCGGCCACCAAATAATTTAGCCAAATTGTTTGCTCTGTAACTTTTTCAATTCTGGTCCGATTTTGGTGAGATTCCGACCAAATCGTAGGTTCACGTTTCCGAATGTTAGCCTGAATATTATTTCCTAAGCGAATCTGATGACTCGATCATTATACAGGGAAAAACGAAAGTTACTTTTTCACCCAACTTCTGAACGCCCTGTGGGAAAGGTGAGTGGTTTAACTTAGCTCCATTATATTTTAGATTGGAGTGTGATCTCTTCTCTACATGATGGTTTTTTATTTACGTCGATAACCACTTTTTAAATGAAGATACAAGTGTTTCAAGAGAGTATGGATTTTTAAAATATTTATTCACAATTATTCAGAACCATTCTCCAGCCTTCTGCTTCATCATGTTTTGAATTGAAGTGTGATCCTCTTCTGTTCCTTCATACAACGGTTCTTGAATAACGTCAAAATCTCCTTTTTGAGAGACGATACAAGTGTTTCAAGATAGGATTTCTTCAATTTTCAATAACAATAATTTAGAACCTATCTACCTATCTTATAGGGGTGACCTCTAGGGGCTCATTCGCCTTCTCCCAGCCTTGTCACATACTCTTCAAGAGCTACGATTCGCCCTTCAAGGAGGATTTTAGGCAATTCTTCAAGGCTACTTGAGTAATTTGATCAATTCGATGCCACTGCGGTTGAATGCTGTAATTCAATATCGAGGAGAGCATACTCGTTATTGACGACAGGTCTGCTTCTTGTTTGTTTTTTGTAATTGATTTTCAGGTGGGTGCTAAGAAAGTGAGGTAGAAATATGTGATATTGATCCTTGAAGTTGTTAATCAATGAGTTCATGTAAGTTCTGATTATTGGTAAAAGAAGTTGAAAAACACCATACTCCCTTCAAACACTCGTATCTTCTTCCAAAAATAAGATATTGACGTGAATCAAAAACTTTTGTGTTAAAAAGGGATCACACTTCAATCCGAAGCATGATGAAGCCATGTTCGATCATGCAGATATAGTTATAGTCGTATTTCTACGATAACTCTGATTCGAATACTATATAAATAGAGGTATATTGATAGGTAGGTACGATAGTAAGTCCAGAGATATGTACGATAGTGAGACTGGAGATTAGGATGATATTCGTGGAATAAAAGGAATTGGAGAACAACCAATACGGAAATATTGAATATACTTTTGCGGAACAAACCCGTCTCACGTTTTTTTTTCATGCAATGAGAACGAATATTGAAATAGGTAGATAAAAAACAAGTTTGGAATGTTTTCATGGTTTTTCAAGGCGATATTCAAGGGATTATATCGCCAAATCATTTCGAAATGATGAATAAACTTGAAAAAACAGTTCAGCATTTCATTCCCTCAAGATCAAATGTTACTACTTTTAAAGGGTTAAAGTAGGTCATTTCAATCTAAAGGATATTCTCTACTCCCGATTGAAAGAGAAATGATGTGTTTCGAACCTAGTAGTGAAAGAAAACTTGAATTTTTTCTCATGTGTTATAGACAGGGTGGTCCAAGATTTTCGTATATAAATTTCGAAAAATGAAAAACCACGGGTTTCCAAAAGAAAGTGTACCAGATTTGAAGAAGACCATTTTTTTATTTCCTCAGATATGAAATAATCCAGAATATTATTCTCCCAACAAGTTTGGAATGTTCGGATTATAGGTACCTTTTTTTTGGACAAGTAGATAAGATACCAGGATGGGTAACGTGACTTTGTTTACATTATTCTTCACTCCATGACTATGGCACCTACTTTCCCAGTGTGATATATACAATTCGTGTTATGGTATAACCATAATTTTTGTGGCACATTCTTCAGTTCCTTTTGTGGATCCTTATATTGTTTTCAGAATGGTTAGGATGTGAATGGAAGTGAAATCGTTATACGTAAGAATAAGTATTCGTCTAATCATACGTTTATAATTGGTTGATTTATTCGTCATGACAATAATAGTTATTTATTATACAAGGGAAAAAAGTAGTAGATTTTAGCTCCAGGTTGTGTTGTCTCCCGACGCGTAGCGGAGGGAGACAAAAAACCGTGAGCTGAAATCTAATATTTTTCCCGTGTATAATACACTATTTTTTTCTGTGACAGAAGGAAGGACGAATCAATATTGAGAAGATATTACATTATTTCGAAATCTGAAAATTATCGACGTGAAATTTCAAGTTTTTAACAGTAGGGACACCTGCGTTTTATAGACATCTTTATCATTCTTTTGAAGTAATCAAATATCTGATGTCACTTCTGTCAGTTCAATTCTGTGATTTGATTTTGAAAAATTGCGAATTCAGTAGTTGTTTAGTGTTTAGTAATATACGAAACCGCGAAGTCGAATGGAAGATAAAAGGACTTGCAGTTCTTTCTCGGAGACGGTATTATTGACTCATTTTTCGGAACTATAGCACAACAAAAGCCATTAACAGAGTATATATATGTGATATATATCCGGGAAAAAAGTACTCACTTTTTTCCCACGGGAAAAAAGTAATTTATGAAAAGTGACATTTTATAACCTGCCAACAGAGATGAAATGCCAAACTTTTTTCCCGTCACAGAAAAAACTATCAAACTTTCATGTTCACCTTCCTCAAATAATGATAATGTAATGCACGGAAATGAAAGCTGGAATACAGCTTGTTCCAGTTAAAATTTCATGAGGTTACCCACCTCAGATATGATTTGTTTGAAAAAATTACCGATAGTAAAGTTTTTCGGAACACGGAAAATCCTGTATATTTTCACATTGATGATTCCTATTGAATATCTCAGGACTGTGAAAATATACAAAGTATTGCATTTGAAGAAGTCTTATATCCGTTATATTTCTATGTTAGTAAGTATTCGCATTTTTAACCACACTGTATGATAGAATGATTGAAATTTGCTTCTGAGGTGAGAAATCTCAGTAGAAAATTAATGTTGTTTTGTTAAGGTCACATTTGAACAAAGAAGTGATATTCTATTTCTTTCCATATCCCTAATAGCACGCAACCTCCTAGTGACGTCCCTATTTGGTAGAATCCAAGTTCGAATGTGCTGGACCTAAAATATTTGTCCTTGGGACGTCCCATCCCGTACGTCTCATGCAATGTTCGAGTCAGAACATCAATGGAATATCCGAGCTGGCACATAATTTCAAATGTCCTAGAAATAGCATTCTTTAGACGTCCCACGTGGCAAGGATGTCCTTATAGTGTGTCTCTGATATGATATGATTTTGAACGTTCCTTCAGGGACATCCGTCAGATGTCCCAAGTAGTACATTTTCTGGCATGACTTCAGATCTTAGATAGTGTCCCTTCCAGAACAACCATGAAATATCCCATACGGTACTTTTCTTCAAATATCTCTCCACAGACGCCCTCAATATTTCCAGGATCGTATAACATTCAAAATGTCCCTCAGGGACATCCGTCGGACGTTCCAATCAGTACATGAACTGTTATCACTTCGGAACTCCTCGAGGAATTCCTATAGAGTATCTATATGTACATCCAAGTAATATGTACAATAATATTTCTCAGGAAATATTATTTCATAAGATGTCATGAGTAAAACGTCTTATGGAAGTGCCAGATTATAAAATGAATACCAATAAGTTTATTGTAATTTGTGTAGTTGTAGGAAAAGTATGAAGCGCAACATGTGGGGAAAAGTTGCACTTCACCCACTTTTGCACAATACAGGGTGCCCCAAAATTGCTGGGACACATAGCTACCACATGTAATACTGGTCAAAATAAGTTGATTGGACCCAATTTATTTATATACGAAAATATACCACATTTTTGTAAGCTGTTCAAAAATTAGATGAACAAGTTAAATGAAATTGGATAAAAGTGCATTTCAGAGGGTATCCTCAATTTCAGTAATCAAAGAAACCCGAAAGGAATTTTAGAAGGGTTGAAATCACCCGCACCCTCTGAGTTTTTTCTCAGAACATTCTTATAAGTAGTGATAGGGTTCTCAAATTCTTTGAGCAAGATGACTGATCAATTATCTTCATTTTGTTACTCCTGTGAAAATTTCGTATTTCACATAGTTCGGAAAGAAAAAAATGTTTTCTTGAATAATGCTAACAGACATTCCAAGTGAAAGTTTGATATCATTATAATAAAAAATTCAGTTGACAGTAGAAACAATAGGGGCAGAACGTTTTTTTTTTAGTAATGTTCAATATGACACCCACCTTCATTAAAACAAATGTCAATTCCTTTGTTTCCACTGCCAACTAATTCTGTATTACAATTTTATCAAACGTTTACTAGGAATATCTCTGAGCATTATTGAAGAAAACATTATTTGCCGTCGGAACTATGCGGAACACTATATTTTCACATGAGTAACAGAATGAAGATAATTAGCCAGTCATCTCGCTCAAGAAATTTCAGAGTCCTATTACTTCCCTCTGAGAATATTCTGAAAAAAAAATGCATGTGATAAAGGTGGTTTCAACCCTTCTACAATATCTTTCGAGTTTCTGCAATCACTGGAAGGAGGGTTATCTTCCAAAATGCACCTTCGACAAATTTCATCCAATTTGTTTCCCTCATTTTTGATCAGCGTACAAAAATGCGTTCTTTTATGTGAAATTTGAACTCACGTAGAAAAAGTACATTTTTTTATATAAATAAGTTGGGTCCAATCAACTTATTTTGAACTGGATTACCTACATGTGATAGTTCTTCGTCCCAGCAATTTTGGGACACCCTGTATATCTACTATTGATTGGGCTTCATTTATTAGACTTTTTTTCCTCTCAATCAACCTATCACTCCAAGCAACCGTACCTTATGCATCATTATAGTTATGAATACACCAAGGTAGTAAAGAATATCATTATTACCCAGGGGCCAAGAATATATCCCGAGGCTTCAGGTTTATATTGATTTTTTCAACCACCAGCAATATATTTTAATCAAGTCATGGAAACCATCCATTCTCAAAGTGGTCCAGTATTTTTCAAAAGGAGAAAAAAACAATAACTCTAAGTTTGTGGTCGACCGACTTAGAGTTGTTTTTTTCTCCTTTTGATATTTTAATCATTTCAGTTCTGTGAAATCGAAATATGGACCTATTATCAGTTAACATCAGTCTTTATTGACTATAGTGGTTCATAAAATGAAGAAAACTACCTTGGTAGTAAGAACACACTTTAAGCGAATTTTGGTAGGTTTGATAGCTGGTGGAGGAAAAACTAATAAACGTATACAAATCTTACCTTCATTATACCGAGTGTACTACGAAATCCGATCACTTTATCGATGGCATTAATGAAGCCGGCTAACACACAGAATCACACAAATTCGGTCCGCATTCAGTCTGCTGAATCATAGTTTGCAACTAAACAAATAGGTCAGTAAATCAACTTTTATATCGATCTTCCGATGGTACCAGTGTATGGTACTGGTCTTCGCGAAGAGAGTGGATAGTACGTCGAGACTGAGGATTACCATTATGCTACCTAACTATATAGCATTATCTACAGGCAGAGGCGTTATATCAACTCAGAAATGATCCATGAGAGGTCCACTCACTGAATTTTTAAATTTTTTTTCAATGTCTGCTGAGGCTGAATTGAATCGTTTTTGACTCTTTGTGGAATTTCCAAAGATTTGACAATGTATTTTTTATCATCTTTTGGAGCGCACGAAAAAAGAGAAGGCAGAGAAGGTTGGTATTGGAATTCTCATCGGAATTTTGGAATACTTTCTTCAGCAGAGCTTTTCTATAGAAAAACGATTTTGATAAAGAGTTGTTCGTTATTTCTCGAAGTTGGCGACAAAAGGATATGCTGACTGTAGAGTTCGTCTGACTGGTATTGCTAGTGATAGATTGATAGCCAAGATTTTCAAAAACACTTCCCTTATAAAGACAGGGTGATATTTTGAAAATTTTCCACATACAATATCTTCCTTCTAGTAAATAATATGAAAAATCGAGAAGACAGGTCACTCTGAATACTGTCTGTATGTTAATCGAGGAGGTGGTACATGCATTATTCCAGATTTTTTGGAATTTTTTCTCCTCGTTTCTAAAGAATAAAAATATGAATTTTATTCCAATATAAGTGTAGTAAGGACAAATCAGATGATTTGCCCCAAAATGTCACTGCGTTTGAAGAATTTTTCTATCAGAAAGCCAACAAGAGAAATTCATTAGCTTGTCAGTGACAATTTGTATTGAAAAAAGTTTGGAGAAGAGGAATGAAGGTATATGGAAAAAATATGATGTTTTTCTTAGCTCTGAGCGTTTCGGAAAGAAATATGCTCCCGTTTTACACAGAAAAAATGGATTTTTGTATCGCAAAATTGTATTTGTCCTGAGACTTTTCAGTTCTCAGTGACAATTAGTGACGTTGGCAATCAAATGAGTTACAGGATGTTTTCATTAAATAATCTTGAATTTACCATTGTCATTTTCAGATTGCAATAGTGAAAACCATGTACTATTTATATCAACTGAACAGGAAGCAATGCTATTGTCTCCGTTCAGAGGAATACAAGCAGATTCCTTGATTTTCCTCTTCTGGTTGTTATCTTCTTTTCCAATGATCTTAATATTATTCCACTCTGCCATATGTTGTCCATCTTCAGTAAGGATATGTTCAGATAGTTTCGATATGTCGATGTGTCTTTTCTTCATATTGTATTTATGTTTCTTCGTCCTTACTGAAAGAGGTCTCTTGGTTTTACCTGTGTAAAACTTTCGACAAACACAAGGTATACTGTTAATACAATTTCTCGACGATTGTTCTTCATTTTTCGGTTTTGTTTGAGGCAGAATTGATCTCATTGGCTCACCATTTTGAAGGGAGCTCAATTCTCTTTCCAACGGTACCCTAGTTCATCATTTTCTGTCGAGCAGTTTCCGAAAAATGCCGTGTCAATTAGTGAAAACTGTGTTCCTTCCTGTTTTAGGTTCTGGTTCCCACGAAAAGGGATATCCTGTAATGTTCAGAGAACATCGTGAGAACCAAGGGAAATAAGGTAGGAATTGGTGTTCTTCTTAAATTTCTGGAGGTTATATGCCTCGGGGAACACCTCCCTTGGCAATGTACTCCAGAGCCTCGCTGTTCGTTGGATGAACGATTCTTTGGTGTTTTTGAAATAAGTGCACATATTCAGCACATTAATATGATACAGTCTAAGGAATATTCCCATGATATCAGATTTTTTCTAATTCTTCTAATCAACGAGAATTTTCATCCCGAAAATTGTAAATTTGAAAATTCCTAGGCTCAAACGAGATGTTATTCTCACTCAATTTCCCAATTGTCCATCTTATTTATCGAAAGATGTAAAATAACGCACAAGTCGTGATGAAAAACTTGAGATACTAGAGACCAAAAATTTGGCACAAGCACTTACCAAAAGTAAAACTGAATTCGAAAATTACCAAAAATCATTTTGCTACACAGAATTTCAAGAATTTTTAGTTGTATTAGAGTCTTTTCAGTTGCCCGAAAAGTGGTTCAAAATTATCGATTTGCAAAAAGTCACATTAGTCAAATTGTCTTATTCTCCAGGGCCCGTAATTACATATTCGGTTGTGATTGATTTTGTTTTGAAGGTGGAATCATTTTTGTATGACCTAGCGATACAAACATCTCTAAAAGCCAATCTGAAAACACCTTTTATCTCTAATAATATCAATCAAATCAAGGAATTACTAATTGAAATAGATAAAAACGAGATACATAATTCGGGAAAATGTCTTGATAATCAGAAAAAGAGGGTTTTGAAACATATTTCGAATACATTGGACTTTTTGGTTTCTGACTCGGTTTCAGATCTTGATGAAGATTGCGAAAACACTTCAGCTTTATTGTTCCTCTCTGAGCAAATTAAATTACATACATCCTGCAAAGAACGATATCGTTATTCGAATAATACTATAATTTTAGCCTCTATAATTCATACAATAAGTCCACATGCTTATAAATTTTTAAGACATTTTTGAGTACTCATATTACCTCATTCAGGTACAGTCAAATCGATATGTAGTTCGTTGTTAACAGATCCTACATTCGAAGAAAGACAAATGTCGTTATCTCATGCAGAAAATGTATTTAAGTTATTAGGTGAGCGTGAAAAATATGTCATTTTAATGATGGATGAAGTTCATATAAAGCCATATTTAGATTACAAGGCAGGCAATATTATAGGAAAGGCATTCAATAATTCATGTTCAGCAAATTCCGCATTTGTCTTCATGATTACAAGCGTTATGTCAAATGTGAAAGAAGTCCAACATCAAAAATAGATCACCTCATGATTTTTTCTTTAATAAAGAGAGTCATAAATAGATCAATCTCACGATAACTTTATGTTCTGCGGGCCCTGTATAAGTAGGTGTGAAGTTTACCTTCACCACAATTCTTGCCAATATATTTAATTCGAATGAGTTGCTGTAGGTGGATATTTGTGTTTTATCCTGGTTTTTGCTTTGAAACTTCGTTTTTCCATAATAAAATCGAATGGGATGCGAAGAAGGGCTCAGTTGACGGCTGGCATCCTCTTTCAACCGGAAGCCCTTCAAAAAAAAGCAAAATCGGCTCAATAATGATCTAAAACTAAAATCGAAATACGCGGTCGCCTTATAGCGCTATAAGCGCTTGTCGTTTCGAGCCGCTGGTTAGGCCTGACTAAGTGACGTCACCCACGGAGCATGCAGGCCTTGTTTTATCGGTGGTAACGGCTGGTCCCTCTTTCACCTCTTGTCTCTCTGCTACGACCAGGATGGCGAACACCTCAGCTTGGAAAACTGTGGTGTATTTTCCTAGGGCGTAGCTTTCTCGTATGGTTCCACCTTCGAGATAGATTCCTGCACCCGAGGCCTGTCTGTCAGTCAGACGGGATCCGTCTGTGTAGCATACTAAGCTTCCTGGGCGAAACTGTATTGTTTCTCCATTCCTCTCTGCTTGGAACCTACAATGTTACACCACTGTGTTTATTATTTCGTTCATAAATGAAACGTTATTAATGAGGACGTTTCCGAAACAGCTATTCCGATGATGGTCCGTTATTACTGATCATTATCATCGCCACACTTCAAAATATAAATAATGATATCAATAATAACATTATTAGAATTACTTAAGGATTGTTATTTTCGAGGAAATATAAACCGAGGAACTAGGTGAAAATCTTCATTATTGGATTCATTACGGTGATTTTAGGAATAATAATAATAATACATAATAATAAATGGTCTTTATTTTTCTTGGCGGAGTTTAGCTGACGCACTCAAAGTTACAGAGTTGTTCATTGAACAAATTTATATAAAAAAAACTTTCATTACATTCATCTAATCTACAAATTGAAGAAATAAAAACTGATAGTTCAATAATAATGATACAATCTATATAATAATATGTGAAAGAAATAAAATAATAATAATAATAATAATAATAATAATAATTATAATAATAATAATACTGAAGATAAGAATATAAAAAATCAGGAGATTGAGGACTCATTGTCATCGCTCAAAAAAGGAAGTTCTATGAAAGGGTATAGAAAGATTTCCTAGCTGACGGAGGTCTCTTGAGTGAGCTTGTTGTCTGTATTGTAGTTTATCTAAGAGATAAGTGGGCGTTTTATTCATGAAGAGTTTAAATAAGAATGTGAAAAAATTAAGTTCTCTTCTATTATACATTTTCAACCACCCCAGTCTTTTTATGAACGGTGTTACGTGATCTCTACATCTAAGACCATAAATAAATCTTACACACGCATTTTGGACTTTTTGAATTCTAGCCGACTGCATCGTATCAAGACAGGGACCATAAACAATATCACAGTAATTAAAAATAGATAATATCAGTGTATCACACAAGGTAATCTTCAAAGTTCTACTAAGGAAATGCCTGTTTGAGTACAGATCTTTCATGAAACAGTATGCACGCTGGACAAGATTGCTTACATGACTGGAAAATTTCAAATTATTAGCAATAATCAAACCAAGACACTTAATGTAATGATATACTGGGTGTCCCATTCGAAAATCGGAAGATGATCATTTCCGACAAAACTTGCAGAAGTTGTTTTTGTTTTCAAATATGACGAAAGATGACGTTCAGTGGGCATATTCAATATTACGAAATTCAGAAATAAAGCTAGAGAAACGAAGGGAATATTGGAGAATACCATAAGTTTGTGACACACTTTATTATCAGTATTTCCTAATAAATATCTTTCATCACATAGAAATATCACATAAAATATTTCTATATACTTAAGCATAAAAAGAAACTTATATTGTTTTGAAATAGGTACTATAAAATAAATCAAAATTTCCCCAAATTTTCGAATGTTAAAAACGTTTACCATAACCGGAATAGGTACTTTTGATATTACCATTTATCAAATCCATCTAGAGAACCGTGGAGGCTTAACTTTTCCTGATATATCTAAGGTTGCCATGGTATAAGGACATGAAA